AAGCGAGAGGACCTAGGGGTGTGTGAGCGGAGTGTGAGTTGGCAGATTCCGCCCGGGGGACGTTGGGGGCCTTAGGGCCCTCCGAGCATTCCAGCAGAATCGCCCCCCTTTTTTGGGTCCTTCCCCCTTCTTTTCCTTTTTTTCTCCCTTGCCGCTTCTCAACCTCACTTTTCCCTATCGCACTCCCTGCGCACACACATCTCATCTCACCCTCCTCGCCTCCAAAAGAATCCATCTCTTTCTCGGAAAAATGGGGCCAATCTTGAGAAGAGGGTTACTGGGAGTTTGGAGTTTGTAGTTTTGTAGTTTTGTGGTTTTTAGGGTGATATTTTGAGTAGAAACCACGAAAAACTAGTCGATTAGCTCTAAAATATGTAAAAAACCGGAAATCTATACATGAATTTGCTTTAAAAACTTTTTAAAAGGAACGATGAAGCGAGGAGAATCTCTAGACCGTTTCTCATATTGAAATAGTATTTATTGATAGTACATAAAACGATCAGGAAAGATTTTCGTTCCTGAGAATGCTTCTCTATAATTTATTAGGGTATCCGAATAAATGGATACAGAATCTTTCTTAAAAACTAGCAAAAAACCTGTATTAGTCGTCTGAAAAAATCGAAATAACTGCTGTCGATAGTCGCCATCGGAGCCGCGGAAGCGTGCGGAGGGATAAGCCTCGGAAAATCTCTTTGTTTTCCGAGGATCTGGTTACGGTAGCCTTGCGTTTGGTTATAATGGCGTCGCCATGGCAATAAAAATTCTAAAATTAAGTATCCCGTCTCTCTCTCTCTCTCTCTCTCTCTCGCTCTCTCTCTCTCCACATTCCACTTGATCCTTATAAGCCTCAGAATCCCCCCCCCAGGCTCCCTGATGGCCCCTTGAACACCCAAGGGAACACAACATTTTTCCAGAAGAACAATTCCGGCACTTTCCGCTTCAATACTTTTTTCATGTGAGCTGCACTTTCTCATTATTCTGTGTACGGGAGACTACCTTGAAATACGTAGGTCTTGCAGGAACACCTGGTTGGATAAAATTAGGCTGCAGAACCACCCTCAAGACAGTTGGAAGTACATATTTCGCGCGCTTTTTTCTATGAATGTTTATCCAGGATTTATTCTGAATCATGTATGACAAAAGAATTAAATTTTTGCATAGGATTACTACAGTCAGACTACAGAAAACTATAGGCCTTAGAAAATAGGGCATTTTAAGGTTGCCGACAATTCCAAATAGTGTTTCTGTGAATTTTAACCTGCAAATGATTCATTAATCCCATAATAATTGAATTTTCTCATCGAATTATCGTGGTCAGCCCTCAAAAATCTACTTCCCGAGAAAGTACATCTCTCCTAAGATATCTAATACTAGCAAAAAATTTCAATACTCCCCAGGGACCGATGGTCCCCATTTGAGTGAGATTGGCCATGTGTGGTGGTGGTCCTCTTTTTCTTTCGTTTTTCCCCTCATCTTCCACCCTAGTCGCCCCCCGCATGCTCTGAAAAGACCTCAAAAAAATCGACCCCCCCGCACTGCTCGGCGTTGCCCATTCCGGGGAAGTAAAGTTCTCTTTTTCGTCGGGGTTACGAATGGGTTTTTCGAGGGGTTACAAGGCTTTTGAAGCCTAAGGAACGTCGTTATACTTTTTGCCACGCCTAAGCCTACGCCTGAGAACAAAAGCCCAAGCCTAAGCCTAAACACTAAGCCTATACATAAGACTAAACCTCGGCCTAAACTTATGCCTACGATTATCGTCATACACGCCAAAGCCTAAGCCTAAGCCAGACACCGCTCTAAGCCCAGGTCTACCTGCTATATTAGCCGTAAAAGTAGAAATAACACTGTTTTTCGCCCCCCTTTTCCTCTTTTTATAAAGTGCAAAACCCCAATTCTATGCCTCAAAGTCCCTACTACCCTAGCAAAAATTTTCTGAACTTCGACACATCGTAAAATCCATGTTCAATGCTCCTATAATTGCCGAAACCTTGCGTGAGCCCCTCGCGCCTCCAATCTCGCACCTAGTTCCGGCCAATTTTGTTGCCCGGGTTCCCCCGCCTGGAGTTGGGGTTTGGCGAACCGCGATGTGTGAGTGGGGGTTCTGGCTCAAGAGTAAACATTCATTCTTTCGATGTCTATGGACTTCATATGGACTCTTGAGAGATGCCGGATTTCGTGCCAAAGTTTTGTTTCGCGCTTTGTTTAGAATGCACACGATCTAGCGTGCATTGGCGCGCGGCGTGGTCGTAATTTCGACTACGCTGCCGTCCTTTGCGCGTTGCAACCTTATGCGCTTCTAGGACGTGTATCTTAGCCATGTTCTAGTATTTAGGTAGTAGTACTGCGTTTTAATAATCGAAGTGTTGTATTTTTAAGCGATCTACTTATGTATCCCTATCTTCCTGAATTTGGTCTTTTCCTTACATAGTATATTACTTTTATTTCCCTACGCTAATGCTGAATTTATTTCTCCTTATAGACTATAAGACTTTTTCACCTTTTCAAGTACGTTTCACGTTTATTAAGCATCGTATACCCGTTAGGATTCCAATTCTATGAAAATATATAAGTTTCGGTACCTTCTAGGTATCCTTCTCAAATTCAATGTTTAAATTCCTCCTCCCATCGTACATCTATGACATTTATTTCCCTCCACGGCGGCTGAATCACCCTACACTCGCGCCAGCAAAACTGTCAGCACCCACACTTGCTATCTCTCTCGCCCCAAATTTTGGCCATTTTTGGCATTTCCTGTCAGCAGGGCCGCGGGGTCTGACTGAGCCCGGCTTATCTATTACTCGCCGGGCAAAGCTGGAATTAATTGCCGTTTTGTTAATGTACCTTATCGAATAGGGTTTCGGCTAATCTGACTTTTTGGATTGAAAACTTGGTCCCGGGAGGTTTTGATCGGATAGTTTTAGAAATCTTACTTACGGCTACTGAATGAAAATGCTAATTTTTAGCTTAAAATGAGTTTTCTACTACACCTTTTTATGGAATCGGATTTCCGCCCATCCTTCTTTTTTGAGCCTCAAAACTGGCTCGGTAGGTTCAGATCGAGGAAATAGTTTTAGAAATATTACTTGCTCGCTACTTACCCCACGTCAGTTTCATAGTCAAAATTCTTGGCTTTAAAAAGTGATATTTATGACCAGGGACGTAGCGTAATACCGGCCCCGGGGGCCCGGGGCCCCCCCCGAAATCGGCCGGGGCCCGAAAATTTCATAAGGGGGGACCCTTATGATTTTCATTTTCTTAAAAATTTTGCTGCCTGCGGCGCTATTTTTTCACTTTTTTACGGCTATTTGTAGAGCTACGTAACCTTTTTTTCAAAAAATTTTGCCTGTGGCGCTGTTTTCTCGTTAATCTTTTGAGTTTTTTGGAAAAAATTTTTGGGGGCCCCCCCCCCGAAATTTTTTTCTGGCTACGCCCCTGTTTATGACTCAATGCCACTCTTACAGATCAAAATTTATTTCGCCCCAATTTTGCCACGAAAATTGCCGCCCAAGAACCAGCCTGACACTCATTGACATTCCACACCTTACCTGCGGGCCTTGTCCGGAATTTGTTGACCGCAAAAGCCTGGCCTAAACCGTCTACAATGTGAAATCCCACCCAAAAACAACCCAGCAGCTTAACCCCCCATCTCCGAACCGTGATCCCCCTGCGCGTTTTCTCAATATTTGTTTAGGTCGTGTGGGGTCCTCCGCTGGCCCCTCCGGGGCGTAAATAAATGGATTCTCGGGAGCCCCGCCAAGCCAAGGGCTTTTTAAAATGAGCAAAAAGTATGCTTGGGCCGATGGTTCCCTGGTTCCGGTCTCTATTCTGGTTATATACGATTTAAAAATGTCGACCGTTTACCGTCCTCAAAAAGTTATCGCAAATCAGCGAAAAATTAAAGCACACATTTGAGCAAAATTAACCTAGTTTTTGTCAATTACTTTACACTACTATTTCCAGTTTGTAAGCTACACCTGAGTACTAAAAACGCGGCTTATCATGGCGTGATCCGTTCGCCGAATTTTATTACTTGAAAATTTCCTGTTGCACGAGAGGCTTTTCTGTCCTAAACAAAACGTTCAAGTCACGAATTCCTTGCAATATCGATGAGAAGTTATCCTTGAGAGCCCTATGTCTCCGCTTTCTGAAAGCTAGGGCCAGTTTTTTGACCGCTCTTCTCGAAAGTTTGGTACCTAACTATCCCACTGATAGCAGAGGATGTTAGTGTGGATTGTAGTTTGTTCATCGCACTGGGAGGTCCCTGGCATCCCCCCGGGAGCACCAGTCGATCCCCCGCTCCTCTCCAGCCCAAGCAAGGCACCCTGGTTCGACATTTGACCCGCTTTTCGCATGGATTCTCGTCCCCGGCCGGACGGCGGGGCTCAACTTCACCCCCGGGCTCGCGCATAACGAATTGATATACCGGCTGCAGGGTTGTGCATTGCCTTTTTCTATTAAATCTCGGGTTTCGAAGGTTTTGTGAAGGTTTTTCCGTCTTTTAATTGCGTTGTTAGTAAATACTTTACTGCCAAAAATTGAAAAAATGCGCAAGAATGTGCTGCATGGCGCGTAAAAACGCTTTTTCAATTCTTATCCTTTTCGCCGTTCTTAGTTTTCGTTACGGTTCGGGAGGCACACGCATTTATTTATTTCGATAAGTGAATTCGGCTCTTTACAATCTATTAATAGATTTTGCCCTTTTTCAGTGCATTTAAATTAAGCTTCCGTTTTAGTTTTAAAATAAATTTTCTGTTTAAGACCGGCACATTTTTGACTTACTCGAATCAAAAGCGTTTTACCTGGCTTTTTTCTTTTCCTAGCTTTTACGAGCTTTTAGTTTTTAGCAATTTTATGTCCTTGAAAGCCATCAACAGGAGGTAAAAACCTGAACCGAAATCTACTCGTCGATCGTGTCGTGTTGACCAACTTCTCAAAACTCCTAATTTCTCGATGTCGTGTCTCCCAATTTCACTAATTTTTTCTTACCTCCACTTTCCAGAATGTCGCAGGGCGGCACAGCAGCCGCCGTCGCGGCCAAGAAGAAGCAGGACGAGGCTAATTCCAAGATAATCAGGTGAGGATTGAAATTCTGGTTTTAATCTGGTTTTAGACAACTCGCATCGCTTCCGGAAAATCGCTGCTGCTTCGAATGCGGCCAGCGCGGGCCCACGTATGTTAACATCACCGAGGGATCGTTTTGCTGCAGCACGTGCTCTGGCGTTTTGTAAGGATTTAATAAACATTATAATAAAATTTGAGCTTGAAACTAGGTGATCATCAAAAATATGTTTTAATTTAGACGCGGCCTACATCCTCCCCATCGAGTCAAGTCGATTTCGATGGCCACCTTCTCGACCGAGGAGCTCGAAAAGATCCAATCGCTGGGAAACGAGGAGAATCGCGTAAAGAAATTGGCTTCTAGTGGAAAAATTTTCTTTTAGAAAACCTGGCTCGGTCTCTACGACGGACCTCCGCCCCAATTGTCCACCTGCGATAATTTGCAGCAATTTTTGGCAAAGGTAAAGATCGACGGTTTTCTGATTTGAAATTTTTGTTCAGAAATACGAGCGCAAGACCTGGTACGTCTCCAAAGAGTCTCGCGGGCAGCAGGAAAAGCTTTTCTCGGCTGCAAAACCGGCGAACGTGCAGCCGAAAACGCCGTTGAACGTGGTAAACACATATTTCATTTTCTTAGCAAGGTTTTTGGACATTTAGGGCGCTCTTTGGCTCGATGAGTCGTTCACCGATCCGTTCTCCCCGAGTCCGGCGAAGCCTCAGATTTCTGAGCCAAGTACGTGTAAAAATTTGGGCTTTAACTTGTGGATTTTTAGTCTCCATGTCACCGCCAAACTTTTACGCGCCGCCTCCGCCAATTCCAGTAAGTTTTTTTTGTTATTGCAGACGAGAGTTTTTTGGGATCCATAATTTGCCTATTTACGTTATTTAGGTCTGCTAGATTAAAATAAATAATTTTTTTTAGAATGGCGCTTCCGCTCCGATGCCCAGGCCACCACCAACAGCGAACGGCTACAACTTCCCCAAGATGCCCGCCAATCAGCAGCAAGCCCCGTTCTCGTCGTTGATGTTTTCGCCACAGCAGCAACAGCCCCAGCAGCAGCCAAAGGTATGCAAGTTCTTATTGAGTTTTTCATTAATTTTTTTCAGGCCGCAAAGGCCGACCCGTTCGGCGACTTTGATAGCCTTTTCGGTGGGTTGACCGTGCAGCCGACGCCGTCGCAGCCGATTCAGCCAAGTTCGTGTTAATTTTAGATTTTGATAAGATGTATATCTGATTTCTAAAAGATTTGTTGTATCAAAGCTTGCAGTTTGCGAATTCTAGCTCTACCTAACTTTTCAAACGTTTTTAAAAGTTATTTTTAGTGCCCCGATCGCAAACCATCGCCGTCCCGCCGCGCCCGTCACCAGCAGCCCTCAATTCGAGCACGCCCGCGATTCCGGCCACCCGGCCGGCCACCAACCAATCCCGCTACTCGACGCTGCTGGATTTCAGTGCGGTCAGTGCTTTCGGATTTCGAAACGTTCAAAAACCTCGCTGTGAGAATGTCAGCCCCTAATCAAGCCGTTTTTGTAACTTTGTGTATTTTATTCTCTTGACTACGCTTTTCTTTTAGCCCATCCAACCCCAGCCCTCAACCGCCCCGGTGTTGAACGGCTTCAGCAGCGCCCCGTTCGGTCAGGCGACCCCCGTTGTGGCCCCAATCCAGCAGGTAGATGAGCTCCAGTTTCCTAAACTTTTTTATTTTAGCAAGCGCCCGCGCAAGCCTGGCCCAACAACCCGTTCGACTCGCTGGACCCGTTTTCCGGGGCGGCCAACCCGTTCGCCGCCGGCGGCATCCAGAAGAGCTCCACGATCGCCGGTTTCCCCGGCTCCGCGCCCAAGTGCCCGCCGCGGGCGTTCGATTCGGATTTCGGGATGCCGATTATTGATAGTGGGTGATTTTACCAAAATATACATTTCTATACGTTTTCAAAGCCCTTGATACGATCAGTTTGCAACCGTGTTTGTCATAAACATGGTTTTTCTTTAATAACATAATTTTCGAGCGTACTTTGTTACACTAAAAAATGGTTTGCGTTCATTTAACACCAAGACCTGACCATTCTCCCTTCAAAAAACAAAAACTTAGGTCGCTCAAAACCAAAAAAATTGTAACATTTTTTAAAAGGCCTGGAAAATTCGGCGCATTCTAAAACAAATTTGAAAATGGTATCAAACTCGCCGTTTCAAGGGCTTTTAAACGGTATAAAAATTATTACGATCTCCTTCGTTCGGATATCGAGCTGTTGAGATTTCCTGCAAATTACTGCTGTGTTTCAGATAATCCATTCTCGCCTACATCGGCTTGCGCTCCATCTAATGGCTTTACGGTACATATTCCTTGACTATACTAAATATTTTTTTGTTTAGGCTTTCGAAGGAGTGCCCGTCTCGCGGCCTGCCCCTCCGGACAACAGCTGGAATCCGTTCTTGTGAATAACACTAACCCGTTTTTTTCTGTTTTTCGTTTTGTTTTTGGGGTATTCGTCTTCTGCTCTCACTCTACTACGGGCCGCTCCTATGCATTATTACCCTTGTATTTGTCGCCATTATAATCCGTATAATCTGCAGGCTAAAGGGTAACTGAATCTGCTCCCCGAATTTCCCTTCCTCTAGTCATTTGTATCGATTCGTCACGATTGTTTTCATCTGTATTCTGTCCGCCGATAAACTCGGATTCAATGTGGAAACGGACCGGAAGCGGGGGTTACACGAACAATCACACGCGTATTATGTGGAGGGGAGAAGCATCAGAACTCACAGGGGAAGGCGCACCGGGCAAGCATGTGCAGGAATAAATACAACGAGGATAGCACGATTGGTTAACGTCTGGCTGCGGCGAATACGGCCGCCAGGATGCCGCCGATCAGCACAGCGCCGCCGCCGATGACCGCCGCCCCGATGAGGCCTTCTGAAAAGGAACCTTGAATTTCGCAACCATTTTAAATTCAATAGAACTTAACCAGGGTTGAAAAACCGCTTCGCGGCTTTTCAACCCTGGCCTCGTCTTGGTCGCCTGACGGTCTCCACTTTGCATAGTTCTGGCCGAATCCGCTTGGCAAAAAAATGAAAAACATCTCCTTTGTGGTTTATATAGACTTCATCCACTTCCGGCGAATGCAAATTGTTGCTTAACAAAGAGGGGTGACAGGATTTCAGCGAAAAAATACATTTTAATATCGAAAACAGCATTTTTTGTAAAATCTGGCGGGTCGGCAGTCGTGTCAAGCCGATTTCCCACCTAATGACATATCCCCCATACCCTAAAATCCTTCCCCTGACCCGATACGTGCGGAACAGCCGGACGGAAGTCGCATGTAAATGCACACACACAGACACTATTTTTTTATATATAGTAGGATGTGAACTAAAACAAAGCCTCTTTCAATGATATATTTCAAACGTAAAAAAATAATTTAGAAAACTTAGAAAATGGCGTGAAGATTATTTCAGTTTTTATTTTGTTTTCACATAGCGATTAGCTCTGAATTTTTAATAACTATGCAAGTCTCTAAGTAAGAGTAATAAAAACAGCGTAGCAAGCCTTATTTAACTTTTCTGGTTTCTTAGAAAAAAAAGTTTGTCCCCTGCCTGAATCACTAAAGAACCTGAAAAATCAAGCGTAAACGTACCCTTTTTCATCTTCTTCTCAATCAAGGCTCGAAGCTCTCGTGCTTGGCGATTATGAGACTCAGCGGCGAGTAGCACGTCCAGATAGGCGATTGCGCGATCGTAGTCCTAAAAAGATATTTTCTACCTTTCTTTAAAAATTTACGATATAAATCAGTAGAAATTAAATAAAGATTGACTAATTCACGTCGTACTTCAAAAAAAGCCAAAACACCTAAATTTTTCACCTTCATCCTGGCGTTGGCGATGGAGAGGTAGTAGACGTAGTCGCGCTTTGGTAGCTCATCAGGCTCTTTCCGGACGAGATCTAAACACGCTTTGTGTTTTGCAAGAATAGAAATAACACATACCTTCGAGTATCCGAACGCCCTCCTGCACGTCGCTCTTCGTCGACCTGATCAACCCGTGCGCGAAGCAGAACGTCGTGCCAAGTGACGGGGCTCCGGCCTTGCACTCACTTTCGTAGGCATCGCGGAATCTCTGAAAAATTCATATATAAAATTAGCCCAAAAAAACTACCTCCAACTCGAAGGGGTCAATCCGCTCGTCGAGCACATTGTCCACGTCCATCAGCATATAGGGGGCAGCGTCACCGGGGGGCGCCCTAAAATTTATTTGATTTCTCCACATCACACGAAATAAATTACAGGGATGGCGTGGAGGACACGAGCAAAAAAGAAAGTCCCAAATGCAGGACCAGTTACAAATTGCCAATCGGGATGCGCGGATAAGTGCAGAAATTTTGCAGAGAAATGCACATCATTTGGCAGGCCACAACAATGCACACGGTCAAAATGGGTGAAATACAGAGAGTCTCAATTTTTTTTTGTCCCCAGATAAAGAAGGATTATGCCGAGTAGAAAACGGGGAAGAATGAAATTTACGGCTAAAACTTTTAGAAGACGTTTTGAACTTGGGGAATGGCCACGGTGGTAAAGCAGGAGGGTTTTGTGAAGACGCCGGACTAATAAGTTGTTTGTGTACCGAGCTGGCAAGTGACTACTAAAAACATTGGAACGGGGGAACTGATACGAGAACCATAAGGCTGACTCAAGAAAATACAAGGAAATGCGGTAATCTTGTTGGGGGTGGAAAGCACAATGGCGGCGCGATGGCTGGATTGCTACCCTTAAAATTTCGAAACAGGTGAGAGCCTTTGGAACCGTTGTACGAATTGGGGGGGCTGCTAAAACTATTTGCGAATCTCACGAAAATGGTTGGGTAATTGCTTATCGAAAGTTTTCACTGGAAAAAGGTAGTTTTGATTAGTTGAACGAGTTAGATCAAACAACGGCTAGTAATCAAAACGATACGCTCGCACAACATTTTTCGAAAACTAGCTAGGTTTTTCTAACAAGTCAGTAAAAGAGGAACAGGAGCGCAAAAAGTGAAAACGAATTTTCAACGTTGTCGGTTTCTGTTTCCATATGTTTTCGTGGCCCATCAGTCATTCTCGAGCTTATTTCTGATCCGGTTGATTTGGTAGGCGCTTCGGCGGCTGCCCCAGCGAAAACAATCCACCACCACTGACAGCCTGACGGACCTCGGCGACCACGTTGTTCAGCGTCGACTCAAAATGCTGGCCTTGGAATTCTCGCGGGATCGTGACCACCGTGCCCTTCGCGACAGGCGTGGGCGCGTTTTGAGTGGGTGGCGCTACGGCGGCTCGTGCGGCAATAAATTGTTGTACATGGCTGTCCAGGTTAGCAAGCACTTCAGCTGGGACGAACTGCCTGAAGAAGTTGTTCTGCTGCTCGGTGGCCGCCGTTCGCTGCTCGAGCTCGGCAATCGTTAGCCGCAGCACCTCGACTTCTTCCCGGACCGCAAACGTCAAATGCGTCTTCACCAAATCCATGGCCTGCTCGATCTTGCTATCAATTGCCACGACGTTGACAGATCCGATCGACGTGTCATCTTCAGCGTCTGGGGACTTGATCGTGGGCACCGGAGCGTGAGGTTGAGGCGATATCGTGGTGATCGTCGTGGTTGTGATCTCTTGTGGGCGTTGTTGTTGCGACTCCGGCATTTGCGTCTGTATCGGGACGGTGGTGATCTGCGTCTGCACGAGTTGCGGGTCCTGATTTGGCGGTTGCACCATCGAGGAGACGACAATCGTCGACGCTTCTGGCTGTTTCGGGATGCTGTAGTCGGCCGAGTAGACACGAGCCCCAGAATCGAACCTGGAATGTCTTAATGGGTAAAACCACCGCTGGGGTTAAAAATATTGTGAAATAAGCTCACTTCGACAAGGTGTCCATCAGCTCTGGGGGAGTCTTGCCATCCGGGTAATCGACGCACTTCCAGCGGCCCCTCGAGAAAGTGCCTGCTACGCGGACGAGTTCGAATTTGCGGCCCTTGGACGGTTGACTGGTTGAGGTCGTCATCTCGACGGGCACAGTTGCTGCGCCCATCTGAAAAAAGCTGATTTGTAAGGGTCAAGCTCTCTGAATCACACGAAGGGTACATGAAAAAAAAACGGTGACAGGTTCAAGATCTTTCGCAAAGCTTCGACACTTCCAGAAGATAAGAATAATCGCCTGGTTCTTTTTGCGCAACAAAATATTGAACAATTCCGCTAGCGGCAGCAATTCTGAAGGACAAAAACATGTTGAAAGTTTGTCATTTTCTTGCACAATACAATTTTGGGCGTATTTACTGAGGGATTAAAAAATTCTCGAAGCTGAACGGTGAGCCGTCGGTGTCGAAACCTTCAATTCTTCTTACACATTGAAAGTATTGACAAAACTTGCAAATGGCCTATATAGTCCTAGAGTCTACGCGGAAGCTGACCGTAATAAAAAGCCTAGTCTAGTCTAAAAAACATAAGCATTAGCAGTATTCTATTCTCCTTGCGCAATACATTTTTAAAAGTATCGGCAAAACTTTGCAGGTTTTAGACGGCCGCTAAAGCGTTCACAGACGTTTAATGACGTCCAAAATTGATCTAAAAATGAGTTCATTATATAGGAAAAATTCAACTATCAAACGCGTAAAGCCAGTCATCAGATTTGCGTCACGAAAGATGGTGAAATCGGTGGAGGGCGCGGGGTGAGGGGAGCAGTCAGCCGAGAGGGGCGTGGTGTACGCGATTGGACGGCCGCACACCGGCTCGTGGTGCATTCGGGTCGAGACATTGGGGGAACCTTTGGTTTGGGAGCAGCAAAAAAACACCCGAAAAGTGATGGGGGAAGGAGTAGTGGAACCAAGCACAAAACAACAAACAACAGAGATTCTTGCCCCGACTACAAATGGCGATTCTTGAGGGCACTTTAGAGCTTTTTGGCATCCCATCATCATTTTAAATGTGTAGAATCTAGGTTTTTTGAACCTACCTCTTTCATATCTATAATATTTTATCATTATTGCTATCCATAAATCAATTATTTTAACGCCGGTAAGCTCTGTACAGCCGTTTTTGCGCCACGATTCAAAGAATTTTCAATTTGTTAATCTATCCGGATAGATCCGGTTCTTTAGCGTTATCGGGGGGGGGGGGCGCGGTGTCCCCTTAATATCCAATTTTTCTAATGATAAAATGTTTCTAAACAATTTCTTACTACGCTTAAATGTAGTATCTCTACAAAGCTGACCTAAAGAACCCAAAAAATCAGGCTTTTTCGAGCAACAATGGCCGTTGGTCGACCTCTATTTCGAATTAAATTTTTTTGATAGTTTGCGTTTTAAATATAGTTAGTTTTTAATTGAAATGCTATTTCAATATTTACTGTGGCGTCAGTAGGAGTTTTGGGACTTCATTTGACGTTTGAAGGATCTTTTCTGGCGCTAGGATTAGAGAAACTATACGTTTAATGCGTTTAATGCACTCATTGGTGCTTGTATGATTTTGTATGATAATGCATAGTATTATAACTAGGTCTTTAATTTGCTCTATAAATTTCAATACAAATCTCTTCTTCCAACAATTCGACTACTTCGACAAAACCGGATTTAGCCCAAAATGAATGATACAACAAAGAACGACGCTTGTGACGACATCAACGAGGACAAATCTGAGCTCCTGGAGACGTTTTTGAAGCTCGAGGAGCTGGACGTGGACTTTTACAGGTAAGTAATGTACCTGATTTTCTTCCGGGACTTCAGCTTCCATTGGCTCCGCCAGAATTTCGGGGTCTTCCGGAACGGGTTCTGCATCCGCGTTCACTTCCGTTTGTCCGGGTTCAGCAACCTTATTTTCTTTTTTCGTAGCTTCTAGTTTCTTGAGTCTTTGCTCTTCCAGTTCTTCGATTTCAGCCTCAATATCTTCCGGAATTATCGTTTCGGTAGGGGTCAAAATGTCTTCTTCTTCCGGGATCAAATCGGGGTCCGTGTGCCACTCGATGACTCGAATTTCTTCATCGGTTAGGGGCGTATGAGTTTCGATAGCTTGGGGTTCTTCTTGAAGCGTTTCCGGTTTGACAGCTGGGGTCGATTCCGGAAGGTTAGTGCTCGTTAGGTCTTCCGGCATCGTAGCAAGGTGCGGGCTCCCTGTTATTGAGATGACTATGCTGTTGAGTTGGCCTTTAAAGGGACTATGAAAACAGTTCCCGAGCGAGAGAGCAAGAGAGGGAGCGAGATATTGAGAGAGCGAGGGAGAGAAAGAGAAAGAGAGAGAGAGAGAGAGAGAGAGAGAGAGAGAGAGAGAGAGAGAGAGGTGAGTTATACCTAGAAAGCCGGAAGGTAAGAAAGTGCGGTATGGAGCAAGAGGCAAAGCGGCTGAGAGCGTGAGATATGGCAAGTCGTAGAAAAAAAAAAAGATTGCCAGAGACTATTGGAAACGTTGAGCGCCATTTATTTTCAAATGCCTTGATTCAAGAACAGACGAGGGTTATGACGTAAACAGGCCAATCTAGACCACCACGTCTGATTTGTATTCCTCGATGTTGATTTTTGTGTGGTTCAGGTCGGAGGCCCCTCCCTCGTGCCTTGGGGGACGGGTTTTTGCTGTAAAAATAGGGCCGTCCCGTGATGGTAGAATCAGATCGATGCCTGACATTTTCAGATCGACCCATCTTCTACGGGGCCGAAAGGAGAACAACCGAGTGTATGGAGGCCAGGTAGGGGATAGACTGGCCTAAAATGGCTGGGAAGCTAGAGCTGTAGGATAAATTATGGATTTTTCTCTTTTAACTTCTATTTTTGCATCCTATTTTTTAGAACCGAGTAAGCATTTTCCAAATTTTCGACCCGTCAAATTCTTGCAAAAAAATACCGGAAATTCATGACGTGAATCTGCCTAGTGAAAAAAACAGGGCTTTCTGTCTAAAAACGGAAGTTTTGTACAAAAATAATAAAGCGCCCGTGAAGGCACAAAGCTAACTTTTTCACTTGACAACCCCTTTAAGAGCTCTTAAATAATAAATGTAGCTACATAAAGTAAATAAATATTTAGTTACAAATTTATCGTTGCAAAATTTTTTTTAGGTTGTTGGCCAAGCACTAATGGCGGCCCATCGAACAATCGACCACCACGATTTCAAGGTTCACTCGTTGCACTGCAATTTTCTGTATGCTGGTGGGGAATTTATAGACCTTTGCGTTATCCCGATTACGACATGCTAATCGATAATTCCAAGGCTGTAAACGTGGTTTTTTAGCCGACGCTGATCGTCCACTGTTGTATCAAGTCACACGGATTCGGGATAGCCGCTCGTTTGCTACTCGACTAGTGCGAGCCCGACAGGGAGGGAAGGACATTTTCAGCACTTCGATTTCATTTCAGGTATTTAATTATATTAATTATGTTATTACACTTGAATAAAATATTATGAAATTAAGAAAATCGAGCCCGACTCAATTACCCATCAACAAGCTATGCCTGACGTCCCACCTCCAGAAGAGTGCGAAAATGCACAGGATTTTTGGAAACGGTATGCTTAAATTTAAGATTAAAACGTTTTGAGTCCAAAATTAAGAAAAATATTAAATTAAATTACTAAACACAAATAGAGACATAACGCAATTAATTACAGTATGATCCTGGAACCAGCCACCGTATCCGAAGAGGGCAAACGCGCCGCAGAAGCGTATCGAAAAGTGAGTGGAACGAAGCTGATCCTTCTTTATTATTGAACTCATTTTTCTTTTTAATATTTTTATCGGCATAGCTAGATTTTCTAGGTTCTCGACTTCCCCGAAACTTTCTTGATCAAATTCATCAACCCTAAAATGTATATAGTCGACGCGCCGGCGGATCGACCTATGAAATTTGCCTGTTGGGTGAAGAATAAGGCCATTATTGGTATGTATCTATATAGAAATTCATGCATTTGACTTAATAATTATAATTCTATTAAGTTCTAAAAACTATCGCTAAATTTTGTAAATTTCAGGGGAAGATGAGCACCTCCACCATTGCATCGCAGCCTTCATCTCGGATATCGCGCCCATTGGAACGCCGATTGGCGCTCATGCTGCGAATAATAAGTTTAGACTAGGTAGGAGATATCCATCTCTTGCCCTCTCCACCTCTCTCTCTCTCTCTCTCTCTCTCTCTCTCTCTCTCTCTCTCTCTCTCTCTCTCTCTCACTCTCGCTCTCTCTCGCTTTCTGTCTCTGTTTCTCCTCTCTCTCAATCAAAGAGCAATTGAATTTTTTTTCCGGAATGGCCGCCTCGCTAGACCATTCGATGTGGATCCACAGACACGATTTTCGAATTGATGACGATTGGGTACTGTATGAGACGGAGTCTACTATCGCTGGTACTTTTCTTAGCTGTTGCTAATTTTTCTGATTTTTTTAGCGGCTTCCCGTGCCCTGATCCATGGGAAAATGTGGACTCGTGACGGTAGAATGGTGCTGTCATCTTCTCAGGTAGGGTTAATTTGCTCTCCCTCTCTCGCCTTCTCCCCCCCCCCCCCCCCCCTCCCCCCACCCCCCCCCTCTCCCCCTCTCTCTCTCTCTCTCTCTCTCTCTCTCTCTCTCTCTCTCTCTCTCTCTCTCCCTCTCCCTCTCCTCTCCCTTGTTAATTTCAAATTTATAGGAAATTCTGGTGCGGGGCCAACGAGATGACTAGGAAACGGAAATGATTTTATACAAATAAATCTTGGTATACGGAGCAAACCTGGGGAGCCGAAATTTCATAGGTTTCGAAAACACAAACAACAGCCTCAAATACGTTCCCCAAAACTATTCATCAGCCAGAAAATGTTCAGTTTGCCTTCCTGACCATGCATGGTATTACTAAATGCCGACTTTTTGTGGTATCCGGATCCCTGACGCTGGCGGACCCAGACGAGAAATTTTGGGAAAATTTTCTCTTCCTTGTCAATCGACATAATGAAGAATTCACCATCTCCTTCAATCACCGAATAATCTCTAACGCGCTCCCAACCAGAAAAAAAAGTAATTTAAAACCGTTTACAAAATATTTATTGCATGTTTATTTGCACTCTTCGTCCACTTTTTCTAAATTTTCTTCTTGTCGAAGTGTGTCGGGCATTGTTCGATTCTAAAAAAGAAGGAATAAAATGAATTGTATATGTTCAGCTTTGCAAGTAGATGCTTTAAGCTACGCGCATTTAATGAATACCTTGGTTTCCGGCAAAACGAAGAACCCGGCAATTAAACTGGCCGCACAAAATACCGTCGCTACACAAACTCCAAACCCCGGCCAGAAAACTCGCGAGAGGTAGACGAGTTGCGGGGAGAGGCCGCCACCTATAAATTGATGTTATGATGGTGATTTAGAGAGAGAGAGCGAGAGAGAGAGAAAGATAGAGCGAGAAACAGAGAGCGAGCCAGAGAGAGAGAGCCAGAGAGAGACGGCTAGGGAAAGAGAGAGAGAGAGAGAGAGAGAGAGAGAGAGAGAGAGCAAGCTTCGGCTTTGTCGTCCCTTTAGCACTACGCACCAATTCTCTCTACCACTCCAAACGTTCCGACAGCCATTGCCCGCATCAATGTTGGGTACAACTCCATAGAATATTGCTTGTAGACGGTGAAGAATATTGAGGCATTAACGATACCTTAAAAGGTATGATAATTACGAAACGTTTGGTGATTGGAAATCTGAAAAATATGATAAATCGTGTAAACGTACCTCCTACCAATGCCAATACCGTCTTTATCATGGATTGATAAGGAAAAGTGGACGGTAATATTAAAAATATCGTAAAGCACAGTACGGTAAATGCTAGAAAAATATCATTTTGTTTGATTTTTGAAAGAGCCTACTTTGCGAATAAATAAACAACGCCCTCCGGCCGATATTATTTGAATATTTCTCCAGGAATATGATGAAGAGAGGTACCCACATTCGGAGAGTACCGTAGAGGGCAACATTTAGGAATGGATTCCCGGCTAGTGACTAAAAATGTATAAGTCGTAGGGGTATTATGGATAATATAATCGATTAATAAAGATTCAATAGACTTTACAAAGCTACCCAAATTTTAAAATAGGCGCTTTAATGCAAAGAAACGTACCTGAACATCAAATAATATCACAGCTATCGTAGTCTCGGCCGTCAAAGCCGATAATATCATTACGATACTGTATAAAAATAGTTGTCGAGTCATAAAGAGGTGCCAGACGGAATAGAGCTTTCTAAAAAACTTTCTTAAATGTTTGCATAATATAAAAACTCGGCTTAAAACGTTATTATAGATGTGAATTTACTGATTTCCATCATCCAGCTCGATTTCTTTCAAATCGTCCTCGGTAAACCGGACTTTTTCTTGGTTTCTCGCAGCGATTTTGTTTAGGCAAATGGCTGCCTGAATGTTGATATACAAATTGATGATTACCGTGGTTTACCGTTTTCAAATCCCGCTTCTGTATCAACCACCTCGGTGATTCGACCCAGGTATTCAACAAAAATAGTGCTGGGACCACAGCCACATTAATCACAATTAGATATAGTCGCCAGCTACCCGCAAAATAGGCAATGACAGAGGCGATCTGAAAAAGAGGTGCAAAACTTACCTAATGTTTCGTTTCCACATAAAATTCGTTGATTCTCTCTATTTTTTTAAACGCATTTGTAATTTGTTCTTACTCTATACATCCATCAAGATGAAAATTTTGGTGTACTTTAAAGTCCGGTAGTCCAAAGAAGAATCGAAATACAAAAAGTGTACTCGTTACCATGAACATTTTCAAAAAGCAAAAAATTCGACCTAGGCAGGACTCGAACCTGCAATCTTCGGTTTAGGAGACCGACGCCTTATCCATTAGGCCACAAGGCCACGGGAATGTGGCGGAGGGTGGGGATTGAGGTGGGAGAGGGGCCCGGCTCGGATCTCCCACATTGCGAAGGTATCAAAGGTTTTTCACACCTCCGACCTCGGTCCGTGGAAGTATGATGGCTTTTTGCGGCTTGTTACTTCCAAATATGCAAATAAAAACAATCAATTTTTCCGTTCGATGAATCTCGCAAGCTAGAGTATTTACAAGGCTTTTCTTCAAACCAGAAACAGATTTTCAGCTCCACCTAGCTTCTGGCGCGCCTATTGCAGCTATTTTGATTTAGAACGATCTCTAAGGTATATATTTTGCAGCTTAGCCCAAATATTATACAAATTTACTGCCGAAACCCCTCACCTGCATCGCCACACTCCATTGTACCGCTAGCGTCTGCACGATACGAAACTTTGGGCCGACGGTTTCAGTGGCAAGCGTCAAAGCGGCGTCAATAAGAATGCCGTAGCTAAATAGTGCATTTTTCAATACAAACTAAAAACGAGAAAAAATACCTGAAGCCCATGCCAAACATCGCTACAGCCAACACCATCCAGTCGGGCGATAGTGCACCTAATAGGCCAGAAAGTATCATCAGTATCGCTCCGGTCGTGCTAATCAGCTTTCTAAAAAATGTGAGATTAATTAAGATATCGGATGTAACGTAATTCAGCGTTAGAAGTATGAAACTATGGTTTTTGAAGGAATGAAAGGTAAGCTGATCAAATATACGTTAGGAATATTCTCACAAAGCCGCAGCCCAAGCCTAAGCCCAAGCCTAAGTCTAAGCCTAAGCGCAAGCTGGACATAAAATTAAGCTTTAGCCTAATTCTAAAGCTAGCCTAGGCTTAAGGGTAAGCCTAGGCCTAAAGCAAGCCCTAAGCCTAGGCCCCATCCTAAGCCTAGCCTTAGCCTAAACCTACGACTGAGCCTAAGCTCAAGCCTAAGCCTAAACCTAAGCCTGAAGCCAAGCCTAAGCCTAAGCCTAAGCCCAAGCCTCTTCGACCTACAGAGTAAATTTTAAGTATATAAATTACCTCCCAAGTTGATCAGCGGCATGCCCTCCCACCAGCGCTCCGATTCCAGACCCTATAGCCTAGGCATATTTTCCAAATCCTTCCAACTAAAACTTTTGATACCTGTAGAGACTGCAAATGCTGCGGCAGTCCACTATTCGGACAGACGAAATTTTCGTCTTCATATAGCGAATAGAAATAACTGGTGGACGAGGCGTTTTGAGGGCAATTTTTCACCATGGTACACACGTCTTTGACAGTTTCCTGATCGTTTTTGGAAAATATATAATTTTTTGCGTACCAAATTCCACTCCAGATCGTCGCAGGTACGGTACAACCCTCCGAACGACATGAATAAATAGTTCCCGGCCGCGTTTAGCATTAAATATTGAAAGACGAGGAAGACGAAGAGTTGATAGCGACCTTGAAATTGGACATTATCGTGTTTTTTATAAGGTATATATAGATATTCTGACGACTTTAATCACTTACCATAATGTGATATCCTCTCAAAAACTTGATCGAAATTTCGCAGCGCCGACTTTTCGTTGAGCTCAACTTTTTCGAGCATTTCTAAAAAAATGGTTATAGAATACGCCGGCAACCAAATACAAAAAAATATACCATTAAGAGCATATAAAACTATTATTAAAAAAAGCCTTATAAATCTGAGTAATTATATTTTGAGTTCGGCATGTTTCAAAGATTTTGAAAGTCTAACTTTTTCTTGAGCTCAATCTTTCGAAGAATTTAAATAAATAGAATTACGATATAGTAAGGTAATAACAAGCACAGAAAATTATCAATGGGTCTGATTCAGGAAAAAATCTGAAATTTAATAAGTTTTAATACGTTTATTCGTTTTTTTGAGCCGCAGCACCTGGACGTGCGAGGCAAGGGGGGTCTAGCTAGTCGATGGGTGGGTAAGCCGCTTTTGACCCCCGAAAAACACGAGGCCATGATGCCGAAATGGGCCTAAAAATGTGACCATCATCATGGTCAGCACGGAACCAAAAAAATCGACACCAAAAACCGGGTATTATCGAAATTTTTGGGCTTCTATCAAAAGGTAGGGATTTTTTAAGCTGGCGAAGAATACGGTAGCGTTTTGCAAAATGTCATGCCATGCGATCGGTTAATATACGCTGCCAATTACATGGATTTCAATGCAATGGTGGTGGTGGTGGCGAAAATTTATGGTTATTTAGGGTTGAAGTCGGTTGATAAGCCGGTGGACACGTTCCCCGGGGGACTGTCTGGTTCGACTTTTACAACCATAGAAGTTGCAAGTATGCAAAGATCGTCAAAAATCGCGCAAAATGCCACATTTTAAGAAATAGGAAATGCGGTAGTGCTTTTGGAAGCTTTGTAGATGAAGAAAAAGGCAGCGAATTTTGCGCAGCTGTAGATGAACGCCTGGAAAATCTTAATTTCTGAGCTTTAAAATATAGACATTTTACTAACTATCAAACCTAGAAATATTCAACCATATATGAAAGCAGAAACAGGAACCAAAATGCTGCCAATCCACAATACCAGTACCCGGGCGAACTTGAAGGTGAGACGCGTCACTCATTTACAAGAGCTGATTGTCCATCCAAAAATATTTGGGATAGTGGGAGAGAGAGAGGGAGAGGGAGGGAGAGAGCGAGAGAGGGAGAGAGTGCGAGAGTGGCGAGATACCCGCGCAGAACTGTTTCTTCCATTTTTTTTCCATCTTTCCCAGCATCACCAATTTGGAAATGAGGGAGCCGTGTTGAATGGGAGAGATTCAGCGCACAGAGGTCATTTCCCGCGGCCCACGCAGAAAGCTGGCTGATCGTTTGATTGTGCGTGCTGAAAGTACATTTCTTGGTGCTTCATTTTTAAAAGTAACAATTCACTATTGTTCGAATAAAATTACATTTCAGTAGTTCTTGATTGCTATAAAGTTATAACGGAGATTGGAAACATTTTTGAAAATTCGAAAAATTTGAACATTTTGCCCATTTGCCTATATTTTTGACCAAAATTCAAAATTTCCAAATTTTCAGAAATTTTTTTATACTGGTATCTGAATATCAACTATAATAATTTTCTTGACGCGTCTGTCTGTCCGTCCGTCCGTCTGAAGCCGAATTCAACTCAAAGGGGAAAGGAGCTAGAGCTTAGCTCTCTTCGGATTCGGATAGAGCGTGGTCAGAAACCCCCAAACTGATAAAAAATTATGAAAAAGTTTTAGTTTAAATTATTAAAATTAACTTTGAAAGTTTTTTCCTTAGTAAAAGGGGTGGGGGACGGAGGTTGGGCTGATTTTGGACATAGTGAGCCAGGTCGCGCGCGTTTCGTGGATGAAAATTTTCACGGGGGGATTTCATTTCTTTTTTTCTCTCATTCCATCCGGTCGGTCGTTATTTTTGTTTTTAAGGGGATTTCGGCTAGGGGAGGTATCTTAAACCATCAGGAAGGTATTTAGGTGGTTTTTGAAGGGTATTTCAGCCATGGGGGGTATCTGAAGCCATCATGAAGGAGGTATTTAGGTAGTTTTTGAAGGGTATTTCAGCCATTGGGGGTATCTGAAGCCATCATGAAGGTATTTAGGTAGTTTTTGAAGGGTATTTCAGCCATGGGGGGCATCTGAAGCCATCGGGAAGGTATTTAGGTTGTTTTTGAACGGGATTTCAGCCATGGGGGGTATCTGAAGCCATCAGGAAGGTATTTAAATAGTTTTTGAACGGGATTTCAGTCATGGGGGGTAGAGATGTTGTTATTCAGATACGATAGGGGAAATTTTGCATTTAAGGCAATTTGCATATCGTATCTAGGTTCAAGCCTGGGCAATCGAGATACGATTATCGCATCGAGGATCGGCGAGGCTCAATCCCAGATACGATATATCGGAATAACATTTGCATATCGGAATAAGCAGAAAATCCATTAGTTCCGTGAATACTTGCTCCGTACGGTCTGTCTGCATAAAAGAGCATAAGTTTAGGGGTTTCCGAGACAAGATCCTACGATTTGCATCAATTTTATCGCCTACCGAACGCCCTAATTTCCCTTAATCCGATATGCAAAAGTTATTCCGATAGTATCGTACCTTGGTGGGTCGGATTCCAACTCAGATACGATTATCTATATCGCATCTAGGATTTTTTCAATTCCGATGGCTTATTCAGATGCGATATATCTGGATGCATATCGTATCTGAATAAAAACATCTCTAATGGGGGGTATCTGAAGCCATCATTAAGGTATTTAGGTAGTTTTTGGAGGGTATTTCAGCCATGGGGGGTATCTGAAGCCATCAGGAAGGTATTTAGGTAGTTTTTGCACGGGATTTCGGCTATCGGGGGTATTGATGGAGGTGGGAAAGGATGTGGTGTAGTGGGACATGTAGGGTAGCCCGAAGGCCAGATGGTTGCAGTCGCGAAGCGACTGTAACCATCTGGTAAATTATATATTGATTTTCATGCATGATCCTCATTGATGTCTATTGGTTCTTTCAAAATTTCCATTCAGATCGTTCCTAAATACTAGCTGTTTGCTTGCGATCACGAGTCCCACATTGAGCCCACATTTTTAGTAGCAAAAACCATCGACTGCCTTCCATTTTTGATAATCGAAAAACGAATCAAAATCTGCTCGTTTTACTGCTGCACATAATGTTTTATTTTATTGGACGCGCCGATAGTTATTGGTATAAAATGGAACGCCGGGGAGATCTGGCCAAAGCCATAATGCGCTCATTCCTGGCACTTTTATTTCTTCTGGTCACGATCGCCAGCTGCGAGGTATCTCCTAAAAATAATATTAAGAATTTCATAACTTATTAAATTACTCTTGTTGTGATGGGATTATTATCGAAAAAAAATCTATCAGAAAAAGATATTTGCCATAAAAATATCGAAATTTACAATGCGAAACTCGAAATGACGGAATTTCATGAGCTAAATTTTTTGCATATGCAAATTTCCCGGAAAAGCTCCCAAATACCGTGCAAAAATTAAAAAAATTACAAGTTCTTGGACATTATGAAATTTCGAAATTTTGAGACTTCGGGATTATGAATCTGCCATTTCGTATGTTGGTATGATGAATATCGACAGCCTGATTTTGACATTATCAATCTCGAGATAATGACGCTCATGACATTATGCAGTTTCAAAAACTTGGACTTTTGATTTTACGAAATTTCGACATTATTACTTTCGACATCGTGAATTTCAACATTATGAATCTCGACATTTAAAAGGTCACCCGGAAAAAGTCGATTTTATTCAGTATTGGACTTGCGAGGTGGACGCTGATTGCCTTGCGGGGAGGTCATGTCGAAAATCGTACCACAACTGGCCGCTGAAGTCGTGTCTGAGGCCACGTGAAAATCGTGCAATGGTGGTATTTCGTGTTGGTTTTTTACCGGTACTGAACCCAGTACCGGTACCGGTACTGCGGACCGGACAGGGAAGCCCCGTCGGTATTTCTTTTCGAACTAAACCCTATATAAATGAAGGTAAGAGCAGAATTGATTTAGAACAGATAGCAATACAAAACCCAGTATCAATAAAGGGAGGAATATGATCTATTTTGTAAAACAGGGTACGCAGCGGCGACACGCCACGCGTCTGGCCCACTGCCAGGAAGCAACCCGGCCCCTGTGCCCCCGCCAGTACCGGTCCCCGGTACCGGTACCCGCCGAGTACCGCGGTACCCGTGGGGGGTTCGGTACCGGTAAAAACCAACACTAGTGGTATTCCATTCTACTCTATTTTATTGAAAAATATTTAGGTTTTGTAAAAGGTTTTTAGAAACTACTTTTACTTAAGCAACAAACAACATTATCTAAGAAACCTTTCAGAGGCCCCAACATACGGATGAAGGTATCCGCTGCGAGACGGATGCTGAATGCCCTGCCGGCCTTTCGTGCCGTACACAGCCGAAAACGATGGAGAGAAGCTGCCAATAAAAGTGGCACTGAGCGACAATAAAATTTTTTTCCTGAATTACGCATAAACCTTACACATAATTTTCTCAAGTATGGCTGCTCGTTTACCCAGTAAAAATCACAAATTCGGCAAGGTGCGCCAAAAACTACTGTAGCTACCGGGCTATAAATCGGGATTCCGGTTATTGAGGGCCCAATACACCATATTTTGGACCGCTCGGATGCAAATCGACCAATCACCGAATGGTGCTATTTTATAAAAGCTTTAAGCAAAACTATGAACTATGAGTTAATTGCAAGCAATAATGCCGACACTTCCAAATGTCGAGTTTTGTAATGCCGAAATCTTAATGTTATCTCGTGAAATGAAAAAAATGTTATCTCGGTCTTTTAGCCGCCTCGAAATCTAAACTAGATTTCCCCGAGTCATTCTGCTCCCTGGCTTAACGCCAAGTTTTTTGACCTCAAAAACCATTATTTCCCAAGTTATAGCCGATACATGCCATAAAAACATTGGTTTTCGCAAAATAAATTTACTTGATGGTTTTTCTGCAAAAACTGGGCCATAAATTTTATATAAAAGTCGGAATCTGCGGGGAAAAGGTTATCAAATCCAAATGCGCATCATCGCGGCCCTGCTGCTTTTGGCTACGGTAGCCAACTGTGATTATATCGATGTAAATTTAAGTTAGAGTTTACTTTAAGGTTCCGGTATCTTCCGGATGTCACCGGTCGGTTAAAATTATGATTTGTATAATTATATTTTTGTTCAAATAGGATATATGGGATCGTCGCCCGTGCAACAAAACATCTGATTGCGTGCCGGGTAGAACTTGCCGACCGTCTGGAGACTTCGTCTCCAGGATGATGTGCCTGAAGCCGGATGAATATCCTGAGATCGTAGAGGTGAATTTTTCGACCGTGATTTCTAATTAGAATATCGCTAGAAAACCGCTACGCCTATGTTGTCTTCTTTGCGGGTACTAGACTATTAGCGAGGGGGATACTTTTAGCAGGGGGGCCAAATTTTTTTCCGGCTATACCTACTAGTTGATCATAAATAGTCTATTTTTATGACCTTCTATGGTAGTTTTTGCTTGCTAGAAACTTACAAAAATATTCCAAACATTTTTGAGATTTCAAAATATTTTGCCTTTTCTCTATTTTTCATAAATTTTTGGCCAAAAAGCCAAATTTTTCGAAAATTTTTATAAGCTGTTTTATGAGGTATCTGTGCCGGAAAACGGTGTAAAACGCTATAGAAATGCTTTGAATTTTGTTACGAGACCGCAGAGGATTGCTGCGTTGACCCCCCTCCGCTAACAGTCCAGTGCCCCTTCAGAAACGACCAGAGAGTAGAGCCACGGGACGCACATTAATGCGTATGTAAAATTCAGAAATCCCGAAAGCCCCCGTTCATTGTCTGCCACACCAATGGAGATTGTCCGCCCGACCACGTGTGCTCTCTCCGCGGCAGGGACGCCGTCAAGATCTGTTTCCATCTTAAAGGATAAAACTTAAGTATTTTTACACTAATCCTACTTTATACAATTTCACATTCTTTGCTTCAAGACGCTGATTCTCCTTCAATTGGACTAATCGATCTTCCTCATTCCGACGGCGTTTTCGAAATTCCGATCGAATACAACCTTACAAAGTTAAGGCCGGTTTCACTCACTATTGCTGGCCAGAGAGGGGTAATTAGCATCAAGTGAGAAAGAAAGTGCCTTGTTCTTGCCAGCCGGAATCTTTACGGCCTATTTTCTGCACGATTGCCTGAAACGATCCATCTCAACTTTTTTCGTGCAAAAACGATCAATTCTGCCTAGCATAAAACTCAACAAAAAATCATCAAAAAGTTCCTCTCCTGCGGTATAATGTGATTTATGCATTATCGAAGATCGCTGAAGTATGTATTTGTTATAAATTCAGCGCTGGGCGAACTATGGCCACAAAGCCGATGCGTCCACTCCTGGCCCTTTTGCTTCTGGCTACGGTAGCGAACTGCGAGGTATTTCAAAATTATTGAAGGTTTAGATTGTACGGATGCTTAGTCAATATCAGCCGCTTCCAGCCGCTTCGCCGCTGCAGGCGGCTTGACTTCGGGCTAGCCTCTGCGCTCCCTCCCCTCGACGAAACGCGCGCGACCTGACCGACTATGTCCAAACCCTTCCAAAGTCCGTTCCCACTCGTTTTACTAAGGCGTCACTTTCAAAGTTAAATTTAATAATTTACATAAGTTTTTTTCATAATGTTTTTTTTCAGTTTCGGGGTTTTTGACCGCGCGCTATCCGAATCCGAAGAGAGCTAAAATCTAGCTCCTTACCCCTTCGAGTTGAATCCGGGACGTGACGGACCGACGGATACCCCGGCAAAATTATTATAGTTGATTACCGTTGAATCCGGACGCGTATTTTCTAAAATACGAACAACTTCAGTGTTGGACTTGCAATGTGGACGCTGACTGCCCGGTGGGAAGAGCATGTCGAAAGACGTATCACAACTTTCCACTGAAGTCATGCCTGAGGCCGCGAGAATATTTTGTCGAGGTCGTAATTCTAGTGCAAAATCCTTTTAAATTGATGAGAATTGGCTAGAAGAGGCCATTTTCATTTATTTCTTGTTTAGGAGCCCCGAAATTCTAACAAGGAGATTCGGTGCGTGACGGATCAGGAATGTCCGGTCGGCTTTTCGTGCCGCACCCAGACGAGGACTATTTATAGGAGTTGTCGGGCCGATAGGAATTGATCCGACATAATAAAGATTTGTGCTGATTTGCTTTACATGAAATCACGATTTGCTAATTTTGCTCTCGGTCACTCCCTCTCTCTCCCTCGCTGGCTCTCTTTATCTCTCTGTCTCTCTCACCCAGCCTTTCTCTGTCTCTGTCTTTGCGTGTGTCTCTCTCTCACGCACTCTCTCTATCTCTGTCTATTTGTCTCTGTGTCACTCTCTCTCTCTCCCTCTCCCTCTCTCCCTCTCTCTCTCTCTCCAAACCATTCAAACGGACGAAGCCATTCTTTCCAGACCAAAATTTTACTATCTTCCCACATGGTTGGCCATTCATTTCAACGATCACTTGCTCTCCCGATTTCACTCCGTTTCCAAAAACCCCCCAAAAGAGAAAGAACAGGAAGAAAATTTATCTCTCACCGATCATCCAACCATTTCCCCCGTTGCTGGCTCCCTGTTTTTGCCAATTCTTCGATTATCACTATGTTGTCGCGGCCGGTTGCCGGTTATTTGCAAACGCTAATTTTATTACCAATATCATTATTATTATGGCATTCAAGCCGGATGACGAGAGATCACAAAACTGGACTTCTTTGACGCTTGCGGTATCATTGGTAAATATTGAAACTAGGCGTAGATAGACGCTTTATAAATCTAAACAATAACTACAACATCCCATAAAATAAAATATTTAATTGAAATACTCAAAAATCAGCTCGATCTCAAAAAGTCGCAAATTAACAAGGCAAAAGGTCACGAAAAATATTCAAATTAGGACATTAAAATGCAAAATATTTAGTTGACCATCGTAAATCTTGGTATAATTATAACTATTAGATGGTTATTGGATACGACAGATGAGAATCATCATCCCAGGGTTGATGGTAAGTGGATTTGAATAAATATTCTTTGTTTATTTCTCTCTTTTTCTCTCAATATCTGGAATTTTACAGGAGCCCTTCGCGAAAAACTTACCGTATTCCTGGGTGTTTTCTCGATGACTTTTTGCTTTGGTTGTTGGTGTTGCTGCTGCTGTGGTGGCGTGCTTTGTCGGTCTTGTGAATTTAATATTTTGATTTTAGCTTTTAGTTACCTTTTCTGCTGGCCGGTCTATTGCTATCAATATGCCGGAAACTGTATGCACGATATCGTCGCTAGCCACCAATTTACGAAGGAGGAACGAGTTCAGCGCGTTCAGGACCAAGGTGGGCAGAGAGAGAGAGCCAGATCGAGAGATAGAGAGAGATAGATAGAGAGAGCGAGATAGAAAGATAGAGAGAGATAGATAGAGAGAGTGAGTGAGAGAGAGCGAGATTGAGAGATAGAGGGAGTGAGTGAGAGAGAGCGAGAAGTGAGCGAAGGGGAAAGGGAGCGAGAGCGATCGAGAGAGAGAGAGAAAGAGTGAATGCGCGAGAGAGGAGAGAGAGAAAAAGAGAGTGTGTGAATGCGAGAACGCTGAAATATTCAAATTTCAGACAAAGCTCTAGAAGAACAAATTCGACAAGCTCACGGCTTCCCGGCGGTAATTTTACGCTGAATTTTACTGATTTTTTTAGGAACCCGCGTTCACTAGAGCGTCGGAACCTACCCGTCCTCGAGGCCTCGAGCTACTCGACTACCCAAATTTCGCTGATCGGCAAGTGCGCTGGACAGTGGCCAATCCCAGCGCCATCGCGCTACCAAGAAATATCGTGGAGGCAAGGCAGAAAATATATTCCATTGAAGTGGAATAAACATTTTGGTGTGATTTTTAGAAATAAGTAAATACAAGAATTCGAGCATTTATTTGCGACTGCGAACTAATTATGTCTAACCTCCATATTACAATTATACGGATGGGCCGTCACGACTGAGCCGGCAATCTTTTCCATTGACGGTTTCTGATCGGAGGAAACCTGAAAAACACATGGTTGTACTTGAGATTTGAATTTAAATTGGGTTCGATTCTATATTAGTTAGAATTAAAAAATTAAAGCGACGTACCTTAAATCGTTGGAAGACGTTAGCTAGGAATAAGAAGAGCTCGATTCGCGCCAATCCCTCGCCAGGACATGCCCGTTTTCCGACCGAGAACGGAATGAATTCGTCGTATTTTTTGTAGCTGCCATCGGAATTTATGAAGCGCTCGGGCTTGAAGCTGTACGGTTCAGGGAAAATCTGAAAAATATAGAAAAATTGAGTTGAAGCTTAAAACTCATCCTCGCTGAGAATTTCCTAAGGGATCGCTGCTGGCCTGCCTTCTACCACCTGTCTTTTACGGAATTGCAAGATGGCAGCAGATTCAAACCGCTACTTTTAAATTTCTTGCCGAAATGCCGGCAATAAAATAGCTGAGATTTAAAGAAAAGACCGACAAGTAGAATGCCGCCCGTCAAAATATCTACAGGCTGTCCCAAACCCCTCCAGCGGCGCCCAGATGTGTCCGATTCTCGCCGTTTAGGTATCTATCGAAAGCTCTCGAACGGGCGAGAAAACAAGAAGAGTTCTTTTTCTTTATTATTCATTATTATTTTTGGCGAATTTTACCTCCAAAATCCATGAAAACGGCAGATTTACGCGAGATCCGCATGCTAATTGCGAAATTCCTATTGAAAAGCTACCTGTTTTTAGAAAAACGCTGAATATCGGACGAATCAGAATAAATCTTAGAAAATGAAGCCTGCGTGTTTTCTCGCCTTTTCGCGGGCGATCGAATGGTATAAAAATCATCCTGATCTGAGCTTCCCACGGACCGCTAGAGAGGGGGAGGGGGGTTTGGGACACCCTGTACAACATTCGGAATGCTGACAGCCAAAGTGCCGGCAACAATAATGCAGGGATTAACAATACCGTCAGCTGGATTGCCGACAGCCAAAACGGAAATGTTTAAACTGCCGACAGCCAAAATGATGACAACCCGATTGATTGCCAGAATACCGACAGTAATAATGCTGACATCAAAATGCCGACAAGTGAAAATGATAGTATTTCGAATGACCTGACAGTCTATGTCGTTATTTTGGTTGTCGTCATTTTGAATGCCGGCGGTTCGGTTGTTTCCCCTATGACACTGAAAATTTAGTCTATTACTTACCTCATCATTATAAAGCACGCAGCTGATTTGCGGGGAAATTGCTTGCCCGGCTGGGATACGGTAGCCTTCGATTACCGTATCCGCCGTTGTAACGCGACCAAGGTTGTTTGGTAGCAGATTAGCAAGCCTTTGCGTTTCCTAAACACAGATGATCACACCAAATAAATTCAACTTCGTACTGTTTTACGTAGCACTTTATCTGTAGGGTCCGATGACCCCTGAAAAACCTACGCTAATCACCGCATTCATATACGGCAAAGCATTGCGGTCAGCCCATTCGATTTTGCGCTCAGAGCCGATGACGCGATCCAATTCCTCGTGCATTTTCGGTTGTACGTGGGGTGTATTGAGGATGTAGCATACGGCCCAGGTGAGGGTATTTGAGGTGGTTTCCATACCGGCTCCCCAAACGTCGAGCACGACCGCGACGAGCTGTTGCTCACTAGAAGTTCGGTATTAAACTTAAGAGTGAGAAAGAGAGAGAGAGAGAGAGAGAGAGAGAGAGAGAGAGACTTACAAATAGAAAGCTTCTTGATCGGTCCCCTTCTTCCGTTCCCACTCTTTCAGGTACGCTTCCACAAAATCGTCAGATTCCTGGAATTTCACGGTTCTTTCCGCTTGCGTTTATCATTGGAGCTTAGGCTTAGGCTTAGGCTTAGCTTAGGCTTAGGGCTAAGTTTAGGGATTAGGCTGGAGCTTACGCTCCCTAATGCTTTACCTCAGAATCGTAGTTGACCACCTTCCGCTTTTCCGCAATTTGCCCTCGAATACCGTTCAATAGTGCGTCCCTCGCCGAGTAGAATTTTTGGAAAAGCCCTGTAAATTCCAGTTGAACTTGTTTAGCCTCAAAAATGTACCTTTAAATGGGGGAATTCCGCGAAGTTTTGGCTGCATGGCGGCTATCAGGAACGTCGGGTTCATCACAACTTTTACTAGATCTCGAAGTGAAGTTTTCATCAAGATGAATTCGTCCATGTGGGCCTGAAAACCAGGCGACGGCGTGTGCCCTTTTTTTTGAAAGATATACCTCGTCGAAACGGTAGCTAAAAAGAATATTGTTGATAACCGATCCAACGGCAACGTCGAATTCATTCTAAAATGGAGTGAATTTTTAGCGAGAGTTTGAAAAATTGCTTGCATAGCGTATTGATGTCGTAAATTCCCACCTGCATCGCGATGCCCGACTTCAGACTCTGGAGCCGTTCTAGCAGGAAGTCGACCTCGATCATCACCCTCTCCTCCATCACATTTCGGCCCATCCCGAAATCGCGAAGAATGTGGACAGTAAGCCTCAAAAAATTTTAATATTAAACATCAGAAGCAAAAAAACCGCCTCTGCTCCCTCCACAAATCACCCATCGAGCTGACGATGCCGAAATTACCGCCTGAAACCGTTTCGTGAAGAAAGGGAGAGAGAGAGAGAAAGGGTGAACATGCGAGATATAGAGAGAGAGAGAGCGAGAGCGAGGGAGAGAGAGATAGCCTTCAAACCTAGGTATTCCTGCATTAAATCGCCGATCCCACTTCGATCAGCATATTTTTCGCCATCGTTGATAATGTGCTTTTTGATGAGGTCGTAATCGGTGAGCGCGATGATAGACTGGGTCCCTAAAAGAAATCTCGTCTCTCTCTCTCTCTCTCTCTCTCTCTGTATCTCTCTCCCTCGCTCTCACCCACCTAGCCAGTAAGTATGCATTGGTCCATATTTCTTGGCCCACCCTCGAAAGGCTTCATATCCAGGTGATTTCATCCCAATTTCGATCGTATTCCCCAGAAATCCCCAGGGAACCGGGCCTAAATGGAATATGCAAATTTAAATTAAGGCTTACCTGGAGGCAAATTCCTGCGTTTCCAGTAGACCTCATGGAATACGTACAGGAAAATTACTGTGCCAACCAAAAGTAGAAACATCGCTGAAATTTGCGTAATTTT